GAACGCTACATACAACGCGAGTCCGATCTGAGGAAGGTCTTCACACAGAGTTGATGTTAGTGAAAGTCCAGCTGCACATTTACCATTTTCAACATCATCAAAATCATCACCACAGCAAACGAATCGAAGTTTGTTAATTAATGTGCCGATAAACAATACCGTTCCAAAAATGGCGAAAATAAGAACAGAGATTTTAACTTCTGTGGATATAATGTCTGTCTTGTTAATCTCATAGTAAAAGTCCCAGTCCAAAACTAGGTCAGTAATTTCTAGTGCCAAAGTAAATAGGGTGTAACAAAATTTTTTGCACATGTCCATTCTGAAAAAAAAAACTATGTGGAAAAATACAACATTAAATGCCAAGTAACATATCTAAAAATCTGTTATTTTCAGCTAAAAGCTGTCTGAAATTTTTTGAGACTGTTTTATGGCGATCTTAACATTGTTTCCCCTTACCTGGTTTAAGAGATTCAAGTCTTTTTTTTTTTCTTTTTGAAGTTATGTATATAGAAAGTGTATTCCCGGAATCCCTGTCTCCTCTTCTCTGAAATCATATAGAAAATAAACAAACTATAACTACTATAAAGCGTCTGTGTATTTTGACTTTTTAACATGGTAAATTAAAATTTGTATACATTCCCAAAGTTTTAAATTTACGTGAGGATTGTTACATAAAAGCAGATTTTACGAATCAAGTTTAAGATATTCATGCATTCATTATAAAGAGAATGATTTAGATTCATTCAATAAACAAGGAAGGAGGGGGTGATAAATGTTTGTTAAATCAAGACATGCTACAAGTATATCCTTATTCCTATAATAAAGATATTTCAAACATTATTTAGAGAACATTCGAACGTTATCGTTGTGTAAATTCAATAAAAAAAAAAAAATAGTACCTATTCCTGTCGAAACTTGTCTCTTCCAATAAAGTTCTTCAAGCCTCCTCGTTTTATATATTCCATGAAATCGAAAGTAGATTTCTGATCTATTTTTGGTGCAATTACTGAATTAGTCATGATAGATGTACATCCCTGGCTCATTTAAACTTAGAGTACTAGTGAGTTAACTGCATATTATATCAACAAGTGGTAATCCAACTTATAGCTCCCTTTCTATAAGAAGGAAATTCTTCAAAATCAGATCAGTTTTGAATATTTTTAATATTCCCAACTTTACATGCTGAAGATCAAGGTTTGTTACTTTAAAAATATACCAACCAACATGAATTTGAATTACCATATCTATATTGGATTCCGAAACTTAAAACAAAGATACATAGCGGGTTACAGTAAATGTTCTACCAACCTCTTTCTTTACTTTTTCATTAAAATATAACAGTAGTGAAGGAGAAACTTCAGGAGTAAGTACTGTACTGTGCAACAATATATTCAAGAAGTGGTGTAAATCAGATGTGGATACTTAAAAATTCCAAGGAACTTTTGGAAAATTTGAAATCACAAAACTTTACCAAAATCAACAAGTTACAACAAAAAAACTTAATGACTTTTCAACTTTATATACAACCATTCCCCACGACAAATTAAAGTCCAGGCTTTATTACACCATTGACAGCTGTTTTTTCAATAACAATGGAACTCGTAAATTTACTTAGCTTGTCATTGGTCATTTGCAAAATTACCTTGTTAAAAAACATTCTGATTGTACACACAATCTGAAGTTGATATTAAAAAGATGCTTTAATTTCTGATTGACAATATCTATGTGATTTTTGGAGACCAGGTCTTCCAACTATCTGTTGGAATTCCCATGGGTACTAATTGCGCCCCGTTATTAGCTGACCTTTTTTTGTATTCATATGAAGCAGAATTTGATCACAATCTTGTACATGAAAAGAAGAAAACACTTTTTGTGGCCTTCAACTCGACATTGATATATCGACGACGTATTGTCAATTAACAATGGTTATTTCCATTCTTATGTCGATACGATATATCCCAGTGAGCTTGAAATAAAAGATACCACAGAGTCTGACACATCTGTTTCATATTTGGATATTTTTCTAGAAAAAGACGTTAATGGTAATCTAACAACCAAGCTTTATGATAAACCTGATGACTAACTTTTCAATCGTCAACTTCCCTTACTTATGCAGCAATATACTTCATCATCTGCATACGGGGTTTATATATCTCGGTTGATTCGATACGCAAGAGCATGCTCTACGTATGAACAATTTCTAAAACGAGGTAAGTTATTGACAAACAAGTTGATGAAACAAGAATATCAGCAGTCTTGATTAAAGTCATCATTTCGTAAGTTCTATGGTCGATACAATGACCTTGTCAGCAAATGCAATTTATCATTAAGTCAAATGCTGACTGGCGTTTTTCATACTAATTGTTAGGCCATTTTACACACTGAATTGTCGACGAATTTTTCCATTATTACCAGATCATGACAAGAAGCACACGGCGGGTGTGACCGATCGGCTGGGGATGCTCACTCCTCCACGGCACCTGATCCCACCTCTGATGTTTTGGGAGGTCCGTGTTTGCTCTGCTCCAAAATTTGTATTGTTTAATGGACTTTGAGCTTGAATACTGTTCGTTATCTTCATACATTTCATTCGGGGTTTTTGCAGATGTTAAAAATCACCTCGGAATGAAATTATCTTTAAACTTGCCGCCCGATTAAGTAGTAATTCCATACAAATATTGAGAACATTATGTTTTAAAAAATATCAAACTTTGATAGATACTACACCTGTAAATGATCATTGATAAAATGCAAAATGTTAACTAAATCTTATTCCATTAAATGATTTTGTACTTAAATCCTTTCAATTTTTTTTTCAAAAATCAAATATACATTTTTCCTTTTCGATATTCAAAACGATTCCTTGCAAACTAAACAAAAACTCTTAATAGACATTGTCATATATTTTCATGCTATTCTTCGGAACATATCGCCCAACTGAAACCCCATCTCCAAAAATTAATTCAATAGTCAAGTTTTAACACCAAAATATGTGCTTAATTAAGCAAAAGCAACACGTATTTGTACGCATTATAAACAATTTATAGTCTCAATCTAATTGTTTATAGTCTTAAAGCTTGAGTTAGCATAGTAACAGCTTCAAGTTGGAATATATCGTTCACACCTCTAACGAAAGGTTTTGACTGTAAAAAAGTTATTATTATATAAAGCTAAACAATAAAAGTTCGAAGCTAATTGGGGTAAATCAATCTCCAAATTACTGTGATTTCACTGCATTTAAAATAAATTGTGGGCTTGGTGAAAGATGTTGACTCTGGACCCTCCAAGTTTTAGAGTCAGGGGTGAAGGAGGTGAAGCCTAAATGTTGTTTCAATTCCAACACACAGCCTTTTAATCTGTGTTATGTAAAGGTAATTTAATTATATAGAAGGACTAAATTTTCTTACATGAAACGATAACGAACAGTATTAAAGCTCAAAAATCCATTGGTACAATACAAACTGGGAGTAGAGCAAACACGGACCTCTAAAAAAAATATCAGAAGTGAGATCGGGTACCATGGATAATATTCCCTGCACCCGCCATGTGCTCTCATTGTCATGATCGGCAAACGAAAAAATTTAGACAATTCAGTTGAAAATAATGTCCTGACAATTTGTTTGAAAAATGTCAGTCAACATTTGACTCAACGATAAGTTGTATTCGCTAACAAGTGCATTGCATCGAGCATAGAATTTGCAAAATGTTGACTTAAGGACATACGCAACGTAGTTTGAACTTTATTGTATTTTTCTCTGGAGTTGAAGAGTTCCAATACTTAAAGGAACTGTCTGCTACATTTTAATGTCTTTATATGCTGTTGTACACTTCTTCTTAAACAAGTTTTGATAAACAAAACATCTAGAATATATGTTTAGTAATTTTTGTATATTTTTCTTTAAATTATACAAGAATTTTCATCAAATGATATCTTTTCAAAACCCCTGGTAATGCATGCTGATTTTTTGTCTATGAACATCTGATGGCATTATAATCTTAAATTAAGAATATCTTGAAAAATTATCAGTAGGTAAGGTACGTTGCGTATGTCCTTAAACGCAGCTATCATTCCAAATGTTGCAAGATTGGATGGACTTGGAAGAACTTATCTTCAGTTGAAGTATGGTTGGTTTCATTTTCCAAGTATCACTCCATCCCTACTTTATCTGCCAGCATCCTTGTTCTTACAACTGCCTTCGTCATTCTCAGAATCTTCCTTCATCGTTTGCACTTTTCTCTGAAAGTTCCATTTCTCCTCTCCTGAAGTCATCTCCCATTTTGCTGTTTGTGTCAAATCAAGCCTTCCTATTGCCAATCTGCCAACATGCTCAATATGTCTCAAGAGGGACTCTCATTCCATAGTTTTCTCTACTGACCACTTCTGATTTCTATTCTTTAAATTGTTTGTATTTTTTGTAAGGGACATACCAACTAGTCAACTTCTTAAGCATTTTTATATGAATGGCATGGATAAAAACATTTTAAAACTTTAAGTATATACAATACAGATGGCCTGTTGACAAGGATTGATACAAATTAACCTGATCATACAGCTTCGGTAAACTATCTTGACTATATCCATGTAATTTTCCATAGAATACGGAAATGTTATTAAAATTGAAAAAAATTAATATGTCTTTAAAGAAGGAAAATGGTATTTTTGCATTAATTTGTAATTGGATTTTAATCAAATAAAGCCACTTTCTTTTCATTGTTTTAAATATTCTTATGTAGGTTAAACAATTTTAAGACGACATACTGACAATGACAAATTCAGGATATAGCATTTGTCTCAGCACTACCTGCTGATTTGCTATGACTATGTTTTGCTATGTATCTAGCAAAGGGTAACAAAAAGGTATTGTGTTTTAGAATTTGGAACAACAGAGAAATGCAAATCAATTTTTCATTTGAACAAATCCATCACTGGATGCTTCACGATCATAAGTAAAGGCATTAAATGCATATTTTATGAACAATTTGAACAAGAATTTCTGCTTTCTGCTCTTTAATTTTATTAATAAGTACAATGTATGTCATTTCTTGACCATTCAAAGAAATTGTACACATCTTCCTTGTCAAGTTATACATGTATCTCCGAAGCTTTTGTGAACCATTATTTGTATCATTTAATACATCTCCTACCCAATTCCTTGTAAAGTACTTAACATGATATGTGTGTTCACGTTTTTCAATATTTTAACAGTAAAGTATAATTCAAGTATGAAAATGTCTTAAATGTACTATATAATTACATGCTCTACTTCATAAACATAAAATGATTGAACACATTATTTAACAAAACAGAGTCCAGCCTACATGCACTGTAAAATGTAACTCTTCTTTTTTAAGAATTAAATGGCCAAGGTTAGTCAGTCTTCACTTCAGAGATTTGCTTTTGTACTTTCTTTCAAAAGCTGCAACATCAAATTTTCTCTTGCATCCAGCATAATTCATGTAGCGGATTTTCCCAAAAACCTCTCGTTCTTTCCATCCTTGGTCATGAATTCCACAAATTGACCACATGCATCCTGAAATGCAAAAATACAAGGGTAAAATTATTGAATGTGTTGAATTGAGCTAGGAAAATAACTCACCATCCTTTTTAATGAGCGTATAGGTATATACTGTGTGAACGGAAACTACATTCTCGTCTCATTATTTCAAAGTAAAAAAAATTTAAGGTGTCTGAGGATTCAAGATATTGAGATTAAGAAACAGCTGAAAGAAAAAGTGGTTTTGGGACTTCCAACTCACATTGACATATGGCATTTTTAAAATATTGATGGTTGAGATGTATCTTGTGAACATACTTTGATCACTAGGAATAATATTGGAGTTCAGGATAAAAGAAAAATGCAACAACATCTGGTACACAGAGGACAAGATGGTACAACAATTCATAGAGGACACTCTGGAGTGCATGTCATTCTTTAAAAAGAACACTTTATTGCCCCCCCCCCCCAAAAGAAATCCAATTGACAGTAGTCTGTCAGCAGTATTTTACTCAGAGTGGAATAAAATCAGATCTTAATTTCATTAAATGCTAACTTACCAACATAACCATTGGGGTCCCTTCCATCCAATGAGTATTTGTCGTTTAAGTAGATAGCAGTTTCCAGGGCAACTTTTGGGCTAGGTGTCCATTCCAAAATTTTTTTAGCCCAATACATTCTGAGAAAACCATGCATTTTCCCTTCTAGAACCATTTGTTTCTGTGTGTTGAAAAATTGGTATTAATGTTCAGGGCTCTAATTGGCGACTAATTTAGTCGCCATGGCACCTAAAATTTTTGATTGGCACCTAAAATTTTTCCATAAGTCGCCAAATTGGCGACCATTTTAAATTGACTTGGCGATCGTCGAATTCCTGAATTTTTCACATTTTTAGCAATTTCTCTGAAAAAGCGAAAAGAAATTTAAAAGAAGAGGAAACTGTTTTCAGCAATGAACATGTCGTGTTTTCCTAGGCACGTCATGGGTCCCTATATTCTATTAACTTTTAAAGTTGGCGCCTTAGAAAAATTGCCTGGCGACTAAAAATTTGCAATGGCGACTAAATTTTTTTGATAAGGCACCAGCTGGCGCCTAAATTTTTGAGGACACTTAGAGGCCTGATGTTAAGTGGAATAAGTACACTATATACTCATTATTGACATGGAAATCTTTATTGTTGTTGTTCTTTAGATGTCTGTTTCTTTTTTACTTTGCTCCAATCTCTATGCATTTCTAGGAAATTAATTTCCTGAAAATCCTAGAGAAATACACACTAAATTTTGCTTATACAGCTAACCTGTTAAATACATATCTACTCATTTTTGTCACAAAAGAAGTGCCAACAATGTTTAGCAATTCAAAGAATTGTGGTTCCCCATTTTCATACATGTAGTGGTTTTAATACAATTATTTATGACATTTTGTAACTGTATTGTCTGTCCATCATATGAAAGATTTGATTTTTTTGAATTAATGAAAGTTAAAGTTTTTTAAAACCATCAAACTTCAAGATCAAAGTCATGAGGACAAATATCATATATAATACAAGCCACAAGGTCTTTTCACAAGTAATGCATATGAAAAAATATGAAAGCCCTGTTTCTTCTAGAGCAAAAGTTAAAACTTTAAATAAGTAGCTTAAACTTCTAAATCAAGGTCTAGGAGTCAAAAATGATGATTTTTTTTATGCCCCTGCCATAAAATGGCCGGGGGCATATAGTGTTACCCTGTTCTGTCATTCCGTCATCATTGTCTTTCGTTCATTATCGTTCATTCATTAACAGTTGCACATATTCATCTCAAATTTGAAAACCGGATACATCATAGGAATACGCAGGTCAAGTTCAAATTTGGCCATGGTCCAATGATTTTTGACAAAGTTATTCCTCTTGAACTTAGAAAAAAAAAGTTTTCGCTCTCTAACCTTTGTAGGGATGTATAAGGTTTATATTGCACATGGAGGTATTTTACCAGAAAATACAGGTCAAGTTCCAAATTGGTCGTGGTTTCTTGATTTCTGACAGAGTTATCCCTCTTGAAATTAGAAAAAATAAGAATTTTTTAGTTTCCATTCTCTAACTTTTGTAGGGATGAATGTATAAAGTTGAAATTGCTTGTGCAGGTATTTTACCAGAAAATACAGGTCAAGTTTGAGAGTTATCCCTCTTGAAATTAGAAAAAATAAGAATTTTCAGTTTCCACATCTTACTTTTGTAGGGATGTATGTATAAGGTTGGAATTGCATATGCAGGTATTTTACCAGAAAATACAGGCCAAGTTTGAATATACTCATGGTTCGATTCATTTTTGACAGAGTTATCCCTCTTGAACTTAGAAAAAATAAGAAACTTTCAGTTTCCGCTCTCTTACTTTTGTAGGGATGTGTGTATGAAGCTGAAATTGCATATGCAGGTATTTTACCAAAAAAGTACAGGTCAAGTTTGAATTTGGTTCTGGTCTGATGATTTTTGATAGTTACCCCCCTTGAACTTCGAAAAGATTAAAAAATTCACAATTTCTAATTATTATCTCTGCTAAAAATGTTCAATTTACAATTTGCAATTTGAAATTTTGGCTGCCTGCAGGGGCATTCATGGCATTGTGACACATCTAGTTCTGAAAGGTATTAACACAGGTAATGTACATGAAAAAATGCAGGCCTAATCTTTTCTCATTCAAAAGATACGACCAATTTTAAAAATTTTGAAAAGTACTGTAGGTAAAGGTCACATGGTCAAAAACATAATTGCACATGTCAAATATGAATGCAAATATGAATGCCCTATCTCCTCTCATTCAAAAGTTACCACCAATGTTAAATTTTTAAAAAGTAGGTAAAACTTCAAGGTTAAGGTCTCGAGGTCAAAAAATTACATTACATTTGGAAAGGTCTTGTCACAGGTAATGTACATGAAAAATATGAAAGCCCTATCTTTTCTCATTCAGAAGTTTTGACCAAAGTTAAAGGTTTTTGTGACTGATGGACAACTGAACAAACAAATGAGATTTAATGTCCCCTCCTTTTCACGAAAGCGGGCAACAATACTAAATTTCATTGCATAAAGTTGCTGTCCCAATGGGTTCATGTTCTCTGTGCTTTTCAATACACTTAACATTTTAAATACCTGGGCAGCATTCCATAGCTCGTCATGTGTCTTTGCAAACTCCAGCTGTTCTTGTGTGTAAACATACTCCCTCTTGTCTCCAGCGTGATCCTTAAGGGTTTGTTTGGCCCAATCATATGCTCCTGTTAATAAATTCACACTGCATTCAAATGTAACAAATTTCCTTCAGGTTTATTTTTATTTAATTAATAAAAAAGTTGAGTTTATGCAAGAGTTTATACACTTATCTTTGTTGTTTACATCATGAATCTTTTTTTATGATAAAATACTTTTAGAATCTTCTGAATGAAGAATGATCTACATGTAAAAAAAAAAAAAACCAAACAAAGCAACCAAGGCTATTGTAAAATACCAAAATAAATTCTGACATTTAAAGGCACAAAAAAGTTATCAGTAATGATTTATGGGATGTGTCTTTTTTATATTGCTGTTTGAAACATGGGACATTGCAGCATTTGATGACCTAAGTAAAATTTGCTTGGGATTTGTGGATTTATTTCTCTATTTCTTGAATTCATCATATCCATGTAACTTTGAATTCACAATATTCAGATATGCTGATTGAAGCCTTAAATACATGACATTTGAAAATTAGTCTCTTGTATATCTCCGAATTTTCCTGACATCTTATTTTCACGAGAAAGTTTTAAGTGAGACAAAATTTTCACCAACCGTGGTTATTGTGTAAATCTTTAATAATGAAAATTTAACCAAGAATTAAATTTTGCAAGCAGACGGTGTCATGTTATTACACAAAAAAAAGTTTTCCTGACTTGCAGTAATTACTAGAACCTTAATTAAGTATCACCAAAGTTTAAGCAATATATGTCATACAATTCATTACAAACATAATAGATAATTAGTAAAATTTCAATAATAATTTGTATCAAAAAATAATATCAATCTAATATCTTTAATCGTTGGGACCTCAAAATATTGATAATTTTTTTTTACCTCTACAGGACACAAAATCAACTTGCCATATCCGTTAATTCGTTATATCAGAGTTTCTTATAACTGCAGAAATTACAAGGTGTTGATAAGAATCTTGCTGGGGAGGGGGACTCCAAAAATAACTTATCTTTATCTGTGAATTCACTATATCTGTGTTTGTACAAAAAGAGTTCTACTGTATACGTATATATTGACCTTTGCCTGTTTGTGCAAAAATTAGAGCTAGTGATATTGTGTTTCACCTTCAATGGAGTCGTATTTCTCATTGTAGAAGCAGAAATTATCAGACAGCTCCCTCCTGATGACTGCCTCCTCTATATAGGATTCCACGGACTCCTTGTATTTACTGCGGTACTGTCTTACTGTCAGAATGCAGCGTTGCACTGATATCTGTCCTATATGTAAAGACAAACATATTACTGTATACAGGGAAATTTTCGCCCCGTTTTATTTTCGCCTCTTTCGCCCTACTCACAGGTGGGCGAATTTAAAACGGTGCGAATTCAAAGAACATAGTATAATTTTTTAAACAGAAATGTCACTGCACGAATTTAAAAAGAGGCAAAATTGTTTGCAAGTTTGAAAGGGCGAAAATAACACGGGGCGAAAATAACCCTGTATACAGTATCTCTTTTATCTCTAAACTCTTCATATATTAATTAATTTGTTCTTGCTCTAAAATAAATAACTTTTTTTCTTGTTTAAAAAATCAAAGTCTTTATATAAAACTTGAAAGTTACCAAACAAGTACATATATGGATTCCGGTTGCTAGAATATTTGTAAAAATGGCAATGCTCCTGAAACTTTATTAACATATTTGGACCATCTTATTCTGTAGTAATAACAAAGACTTGCCAAATTTCAGCCAAGGTGACAGGTTGCTGAGGGCATTTTTATTTGGGTTATTTCTCTCAGATCCAAAGTACTTCAGCCTCTCTTTACAGAAAGACTCCAGCATGTTCAGTCCTGCTGTAGATCCTGGCACCGCCCACTCCACCTCTGAAACCTTACAATCCACCTCCAGACTGTCCTCAGCAGCAGACCAATCAACTGGCTGAAAATTTGTATATAATTAAAACTTTACAAAATAATACATGTTGCCATCAATCACATTTTGAAGTGTTGATTTAAGTATTCACAGAGGTAAAAAGTTCATATATTTCTAAATTGACCTAATGAGTTATACAAGTTCCAATAATATGCAAGTTCTTTTACATCTTAGATTGGCTAAATTGTTCTTTTTGACTTATTTGTGGACTATTATAACCTCTTTGATATTATCTTACTACTGATGTAGGGATGGGTAACAGAATAGAGTCAGTTGATAACCACAATTTTGAAAACTAGAACTGTCCAAAAGGGACAAATACCCCCCGCTGGGTTTTTCCGAGAAGGTACCAAATCACTAATGTTTTCTAGATGTGAGAGGTGTTCACAATTTGCTTAAACATTTAGAGTGAAAATTTAATTACTCATTATATTTTTTTTAATGAATGAAACTAAGGTGCAGCCTAATAAAACATCAATACTAATAATTACAGTGTTTTTTATTACATTGAAAAAATAGTTTGCAACTATCTGTCATCTTTGTGAGACATGACACTCTGCAAATTGATTGTTGAAAAAAAATTATCATAATTAATTATACAAAATCAAATTGATCTTAATACCTTTATATCAAACTCATTTTAAAAATAAAAGGTTGGTTCCAGTAACTATGTATTCTGACAGACATAAATTACAATTAAGAGACTTAGACAACAGAGATCTTTATTTCTTTCTGCCCAATTCCCAGGAGATATAGATAAGACCTGCTTGATCAGAGATGCCCTAACAGCTTCCCACACTGAACTCATTAATTAATCTTTAACTGGATGCATGTCCACTCATTACTCCCAAGGGACAAATGGATTTACACTATCTGCTGTGTAATGTAAAAACTGTTTTTAATACTTCGTGTTTTTTTTTTAGTTCTAATGAGTTGTTTTAAGCTGTAGTTCACATTTTTGTACAAATGTTCTAGATTCTATGTCTCAAACCTTAGACATGAACCTGAAATGACTAAGTCAATAAAAATAAAAAAAACCCTGTAAAATGCAGAAAAATTATCAAATAATGTTGAAAATACCAGGTGCACATCTTCATATGGTAAATAATAAGTGTACAAATTTTCATACAAATCTATGCAATAGTCTTGGGGAAAAGATCTGGACAAAACCACATAATAAAAATGAAAAAAACACCTGTAAAATGCAAAAAAATTATCCAATCATGATGAAAATACCAGGTGCACACCTTCATATGGCGAATAATAAGTGTACAAATTTTCAGACAAATCCTTGGAACAGTTTCCAAGAAATGGTCCGGACAAAATCTCGTCTACAGACAGACGGACAGACAGACAGACGGACAGACAGACGGACAAGCTGATTTCAATATACCCCCCCTAAACTTCGTTTGCGGGGGGTATAATTAATAAAATATCAGTGAAACAATCACACCCAATGTTACCGTGGTTATGATTACGATCACATATGGTTGAAGAAATGCATTCCAAAAGGTTAGACAGAAAAAATTGATTATATCCAGAATTTATAAATATGTACAAAAAAGTAGTTTCTGAACAGAAGTTTCTGATGGACATAAATGTAGCAAGATGATGCACAGTAACACATAACAAAACTCAGCTTTCTTTATATGCATAATTCCTACCTTGCATGTGGACTTTGATTTGTGTGGATGTCTACAGACTGGTGGGAATTCAGTTAAGAACTGGCTTAATTGATTGTGTATTTTGTTCCTGATAGTTCGGGCTCCATATTCCAGTTTAGGTGAAGCTTCCCAACATGGAACCAAGTTATGAGAATCAACCTTAAAGTACAATATATCATTCAAATTTTTGTTTATCTCCAATCTATGAAAATAATTTCTGTCAAAGAAATAGCTTACAATAACTCATAAAAAAATGCTTACTAAGTCATATATTGGCTACAGCAAAGCAATTTCTTGCGTAAAGAGAGATTTTTTTCAAGATTGGGTAAATTTTTCACAACATTTAGTTGCTGTCCTTTCTGTCAAAAAATCGCAATTTCAAAAATGTTTTAAATTCAAATTAAGTACATATTTGTACTTGATGGTAGCATTGAAAAGAAATTAAAATTATTAACAAAAAAACCATTGTATATTTTTAGTGGTGGTTCAATGTTCCTCAAACATGTACCCTAATAGTAAGATCCACAACATAAGAGAACTAATTATTCTGATTACAAGTGGCTTTTAGAAAAAGAGCAATAAAACCAATGAAGTCTTGACATTTTTTTCATTTCAAATCAGTCCTAGTGTCTTTAGTTAAGGCCCTGCCATATATAACAATTAAATCTCACAACAATGTCTATATATTCATTTCAAATATGTCATCGGGTTTATAGCATTACTCACCTGACAAAAAGGGACATCTTTAGGGAGAGCTTTTGTAACATCAGCCACCCACTCTGCTGGAACTCTCAGGGGAGAGAAATCTGTCACCACCCCTCCTATCTTGTTCTCTTTTACAAATGGAGGTAGAACATCCTTGGCATGACCAATAAGCAGGTGGAATGATATATCTAGTTCCTTACATTCCTAAAGCACAAAATAAGAAATTTATCACAATCTGTTTAGACTAGGATTGAGATAGAAGACATCTTATCCAATATATGTCCACTGCATGCTCATATCATTATACCTTCTCTACTTCCTCCAATCCTTTCAGTATAAATCTATAATGTCTGATCGTGGCATCAAGGAACTTTGGGACCAGACAGAAACACACATGGAGAGGAACGTCCATCTTTAGGGCTAGTCTCTGGGCATACAACAGTGCCCAGTTATCTGAAAATATTATGAGATGACAATAAATACATGTGTGTATAGGTACCTAATGTATTTGGGGATGCACAGTAAGAAATATGGTTGAATTACTTTCTTTACTGTCTGGAACTTCAATCATATGCTACATTTTCCAATATTATTGATAAATTGTTTACATTCATTAATGTATGATAATATGTATAATGTATATCATCACAAAGTTCATTCAATGGGATGCATCCTTAAATGAGTTTTGGTAATTCAAAGTGGTATATATTGAAATTTCATAAATTGAAGGTGTAAATAATGGTAAAGAATTCAGAAATTACTGGTATAAAAATTATGGGTTAAGTAGCATGGATTGCCAATTGAAAACTCTGCTCTCACAATCTCAGCATGTCATTGTATGAGTCACAGTGTGTACTTATAAGTAAGAAACAGGGCTAGAAATAATTATTTTTGTTTACTGGTCACTCGGGCTATCGCCTTAAATTTTTACTGGTCAGCTTAATACTTTCACTGTCCCATTGGGCCAGTAGATTTTAAAAAGACTGGCCCAAAACTATAATAATGAGAGTAATATTTTTTTTATTGTGATACTTAGAAGTACAATTTAACAAAACAAGAAACAGCAGAAGTTGTGACACACAACCCTGTCAAGTTAATTAACCCAACTGTGAAAGAATTTTATTTTGCATAAAAAAAATGCTGACCCAAAGGGCACATGCCTTCTGCAATGTACTAGCCTGGATTAAAAATTCACTGGCCCCGGACCAGCGGGCCATCAATTATTTCGAGCCCTGAGAAAGCAATGTACTTTTAGGCATTGTTTCTGCAAACCTCTTAGGAAAATAGAATTTAAGATTTTTGCTTTCTCCTGTCAGAGTCTCAAACTTTATTCTACATTATCCTACAAACTCTATAAAAGTCCAATAAAATGGATAAGAAATTGACCTTGAACCCGTTGATCCCTTGACATCCAGTACACAACTCCATTTTTGTCATCTGAGAAATCCTGGACTTTGGATAGAACTCTCACTCGTTTCTTGTTAAACTTGAATTCAGCCACAGAATTACACAGTTTCTTCCTGCTCTCTGCTATCTGTTTTATCAGACATGTGTCACTTTTGGTTTTGCTGTCTGTACTTTCAGTCTTCATTTTCTTTGGACTCTCTTCTTTAGGTTCCTCATCTTTTTCATCTGCTTTTCTTTTACTCGTCTTTTTGTCTGACATTTTCCTTTTCGGGGAATAAAAATAGTTATTGTTGTAGATAGTGACAAAGTTTAAATGTGGCCTAGAGAAAATACACAATGAATTCAGTCTGTTGAAGTCAGAATGATGCTGGAAGTGCAGGTTTGAGGATTTGTGTGTAAGGATTCTTCTGGAGAACTTTGTTATAGAATGTATGAGTGTAGGTAAAGTCCTAAAAGGGTGAACCCTGAAAGAACAAAAAGATAATTATACATGTAAGCATTACAGACAACTACATTCATATAAACCATTAACATGTTTTTACAACTGGTAGCCACTTTCAATACTTCAACATAAAATATGCATGTACTTCACAGTCACTTGTAACCATTCAGGCTTATATAGCATATAACACACCTGCTGATTAAGTTGAATTTTTTAAATACTTGTACCAGGTATATAGGTGGGAAATGTACCTCAAATATCACATTGTTTTGATATATATTCAAGATGCATTACATATACAGTTGAACTTCAGTATCTCTGATAACACTGGTATCTTGAATACCATGGATATGTCGAAGTGATTTGGAAGTCCCAACCACTTATTCTGTAAGTATTTTACCCCTGATATCTGGAATCCTCAGATATCTCAAAGTTTTTCCTTTGTCCCATTAAGTTAGAGATAATGAGGTTTGACTGTATATGGAAGAGATTTATGTCAGACATTTACCAATGAACTTTAACTCACTACTTACTGATCTTGATCAAAATTTAAACAACATTAATGCATTGTGGGGATAAACATGGGGTAACCTAATCTAGGCTGAGCTCCCAGCTGGATATTTGGACTGATTCTTATAAACATCGATGAAGGCATCAATCAAAATAGTGATTTCCAAATTAGAGGTAACCTTTTCTTTCTAACCTCCTTTTCTTCTAACAACCCCCTCCCTCTGGCCACATCTCCCTTTTCTATCTCCTATTTATTCCTCCTCTGTTTCCCTCCTTCCTGCAGAAATTCCTCATTCCCATTCTAGCTAATCCTCTCATGCATCACCCACACATCTATCTATAAGCCTAGACAACACTAGCTGCAGAACTGTGCAAGATCCCCATCTTGTCCATACTTTTGCATTACATTGTATTTCAATAATCTGCATGCAGGCTTTGCATCAAATGATTACACTGAAAATGGATTGTCTGAAAGTTTTTCTAAGAATACAATGAAGAGCATACATACAATTCTTGATTGGATTCAAGACTTCATCTTAGAGCTTAAGCAGTTAAGTGTCAGGGAGGTTCAGGCTTGGGCACTCATCATACTCATGGCTGCATGGGTCTCTGAGCAGAGTGTACTGGCATAACACAGCTTATGCATTTGCACACGTGTATATAAATGGAATGTGTTTGTATCATGTTCACATATCAACGTACATAACCAATAACTAAGTGTCAGCAACATCAAGCTTCATTTTTGTTGTGATTTGTGCGTGTACTTACATTAATAAATGATTATTCTCCGACTGTTTTCTGGCGTGATGCTTGCATAACAAAGCATTTTCCCGCTCTATAAATATCTAACGAATGTGATTGGTTCTTCATAATTTCGGAAAGTCTCATGTGAGCAAAGGAACAAAGGAAACTCTTGAGAGAATCCGAATGATTTGATTACTTCCGGCGAAAACAAACGCACATGAAAAATGTTGAAAACAACTTTCTGCGGATTTAATGGATTTGACTTATTAGAAAAAGTAAAAAATCCGCTAAAGTATATTTGGAATAAATCAGAAATAACCGATCTGTCTGCAGATATTGAAATGACTGGCAAGAAACCAGCTGTCACCAAGAGTAAAAACACGACAGTTATAAAACCCGAGGAAATTCTGGCGCCAAATGAAACTGAGGATGTTCATGCGTGTATTGCTACACTGAAGGACCTTACTATGGTCAAAGTATATGGTAATATTTGTTTTGTAAATCTTCACTTATACCTAATGTCTTAAAAGTGTGCTTTCGTTGGGGGAGGGGTGGATGGGTTGGAGGGTGCAGGGTATCCACCCACTTTTTCAACCTGAGATTGCATCCTCTTTCCCTTTCTCATTCTGCTATGACTTATATGCTGAATCAAATAGGGCCTATATTGGAAGTGTAAGTTTGCCACAAGCACATGAAGTTATGAATATGTTCTCCTTTGTCTTAAAGCTACACCCCATTAAACCCCATCCTTTAAGTTAGTGTTTTATATGCCGTAATCAGAAGATTTATTAAACATACACATAATTTTTTTCCATTGACAGGGATACAGAAGGTTTTGGTGTTATCGCCTTGTTTCACTTCATTTGATTAGTCAACAGCTTACAGTTTGAATTATTGACTAATCAGATAAATGAAATAGAACAGCGTACATCAGAACCCTCAGTATCACTGTCAGTGGAGAAAATGTGAATGAATTCAAATTGAAAATCTAATTTAGACAGAGCTAAAACATCAAATACTGTAAATTTAAATCACATATTTTCATGGGGTCATATTTTCATGCTTAAAAAAAAAATACTGGTTTGTTGGAATTTGAATTTGTGGTTGAAGAAGTATGAGATGTTATGTATTTTAAATTTTACATTTAGTGGAGGACATGAATTGGGTCTCTTCATACTATGAAAACAACAAAAATATAACACCCACAAAAATTAGTGATTTCACAGTAACTAGTGAGTTGTGATAAGAAGTTTGATATTGAGCAATTTTTTCCAACAACAACCTCCTTAGAAAATAGTGCATTTTCTTCTTAGATATAGAATGATACCTGTCAAGTACTATGTGAAGCAATATGTTATCTCTACCATTTTCTTCCAGGTAATGATGATGGATTCCTGATCTTATCCTCTCTCAGAGTTAAAGAACCAGGAAAGTTTGTAAGTGCATGCACACTCAAAGACAAAACTGTAACAGTCTTTGACAACAGAGTTTATCTGAATGATAAAGAGTCCTTGCAAGGTGAAACAATATACTCAACTGATGCTCCAGTTATATGTGTAGGTGGAACAGATGATATTCTAATTCTTGCTGAAGGTAATGAACTTTTATTTTAAACAAAAATCTTTCAGAATAAAGTTTTCATTGAAACATGATCTCAATTTTGCAATGGTTTTCTTCCAATTTAAACAGAGAAAAAATTAAAGGTGATCAGAGTTTTTCCCAAAGTTTCTCTGGCAAGAGAGTTGGCTGTGGACTTTAATGTGACAGCTGTCAGCTGTGGAAAGGAGCATACCTTGTTACTGACCAGTTCAGGGACTGTTTACAGCTTTGGTGGAGGGAGGTAATGAGCTTGACTTTATACACAACACAACAGCATCAGGTTTCTGGAAAGGGGGTTGATGTGCCCCCTAATAATTTTGCTGATTTATAGTATACAAACAATATACAATAGAAAACAAATCTACTTTATGCTTGTGCCCCCTCAATAATAACGTCTGATGACTTTTTTTTTGGTCAAAGGAATTTTTGCTTGGTAGTGCCCCACACAAACTGAAAATGTTTGGTCCCCCTCCCAAACACAAAATGATTCCTAAAGAAAAGGGTAAAAGTTGGGAAATTTCTTTATTTTTGAATTACCTTCCTTACATTAGAAATCAAATAATGGCTATACAAAATTATAACAATGGACTGCTCAGTGTTTTATGATGTATATGAGATCATTTAAGGGCTTGTGCATAAATTTAATAATATTTGATGATCTCCCCTTCAGGAAGGAAATATAATATCTTATTCTAACAGTCTATTTAACAATGATGTGTAATTTTTCAGTCGAGGTCAGTTAGGTCTGGGTCACATAGAGAACAGGGAGGAGCCCTGTATCCTAGAGGACCTCGCAGGAGTTAAAATTTCTCATGTTGAAGCTGGGGGATGGCACTCCCTAGCAGTATCAGGTACGACAGGTAGTCTACACAAACCTACAAGTTCTACTCTATATTAGGAACAATGTTAGAATAACTAAATTTCTGTGAAGAAGCTATACAGATCATTATTCACAGGGAGAATTTCTTAAGCTAGCAATCTTTCCAGACAATTAAAATGAATTCATTGAGTATATTGTGCAATGTTCAATTCTGGTACAATTAAATGACAATGTTAAATTATGATACATGTATGGTGTACAAAGCACAACAACATATGATGCAGTGTATAATACATGTATATTAAACTGTAGAGCTGGGTGATCTGTATGTTTGGGGATGGAATGAGAGTGGACAGCTAGGCCTGCCCTGTAGAAACATCTCAACACTACATCCTCCTCCAGAGAGAAAGGAAAATTATCAGATGGTATCCCCCACTCCAGCACCTAATAATGGGACATGGTTCACACCTGTTTACTTAGAGAACACAGAGTCTGGGCTGTGTCATGCTTACATTCAGAGAGTGGATCCTGTCCAGATCCAATCAGAGCCTTGTGTCCTTGACCTTGGGGAAGATGTTAATGTGGTGAAGGTTGCTTGTGGGTCTCGGCATTCAGCTGCAGTGACTGGTCAGTGGATTGTACCGGTTGATTTAAGTTTACAACATGTTTTAATTTATAATAGGACAAGGATTACATTAGTGAATACATGTTCTTTGTACTAATCATAGTACCCTGTATATATTTATTCAGATTCATGTGCTTGTGAGAGACTTGTGGCTTATTATGCAATAGAGATTTGACAAATAGACAGTGAATCAAAAGATTTTTTCTGTCTGATTTTATGCCTCCTTCCCTTCCCCCACCCCTTTTCAACTGCCTATATAATACATTTGGGCAATGTCTTGCATATTATGACAAGTGATGAATTAAAAGCATTAAAAAGAAGGCAAAACCAAAAAAACCCAAATAAACAAAACAAAAAATATCAGCCAAATAAAAACCCTGTTGCTTATTACTTTGTTGCTTTCTTTAGATTATTGATGCATATATATACTTGTAACTTTAGCTGATGGACAGTTGTTGACCTGTGGATGGAATGACTATGGACAACTTTGTCATCAGGATGTATACTCCAGGGACTACTTTCAGACAGTAGACTATTTTTTGCAAAACAAGATGACTGTGAAAGATGTGTTCTGTGGCCCTTGGAGCACCATAATTCTGACAAGTCAACACTGATCAATGTAAGTTATACATGTCTCTTTCAGAATTTTACTACAACAACAGTGTAAAAATAATTTTTGCTTTCTTCTTTGATAGAAAGGGATATATTATAAATATTCTAATCTTTGAAATACTTAAGTTGAAATTTACCCATTATGTATAACAATAATGTAGTTTATATACATTGAATGGCAGATTCCTTTTAGGTCCATTGTAAAGTCATGACAAAATTTTCCTTTATACATGTATCACAATGTCAAAAATTTACACAAATTGAACCAAAAACTGTTCTGGAAATTACTTATATTACTGGAAGTCTAAGTATGATAAATACATCTTTTTTTCTCTTTTAAATGAAAAATTAATTTTAAGCTGCTATTTTGTTTCCTTTTTAGCTCTACTGGTCAGAGACCAGACCCCGGGATCACGAAACATTTTAAGCTTAAATCAAAATCTTTATGTTTTACTAAGATGTAGTAGAAGTCAAGCAGATGAAAATTAAAATATATTTCAATATTGCTTTATAAAAGTGTTGTTATATGCAAATTCAGAGATTAATTCAGTAATTAATAAGCAAATTACAGGCGATTGAAAATTTGACTTAAGTCTAAGTCCGTTTCATGATCCTGGGGCCAGAATTCTGTGAATCGGTTTTTGATTTCAATGAATGGTGTTGCCATGGTTACTAAAAATAGAATTTTCTGTGAAATACTTTCAAAATGCTACTCCTCCTACAGTTTTGGTCCGATTTCAATATAACTTAGCACACTAGTAGAATATATTAAGATACATACTTCTGTGTATCAGTTTTTGATTTCAATGAATGGTGTTGCAATGGTTACAATGTACTAAAAATACAATTTTTTGTGAAATATTTTTAAGATGCTACTCCTTCTACAGTTTTGGTCTGATTTTAATTTAACTTGGCATGCAAGTACACTAAACTGAGATAAATAATTCTCTCTTTTTTTTTTTACTTTGATGAACATTGTTCCCATGGTTATTAAAATCAAAAATTTCTGTAAAACTCTTGTAAAACACTACTCCTCCTACAGTTTTATTCTGATTGCAATAAATCTTGCCACAAAAAGAAACTAAACCAAGGATCATTATACTATTTATTCCTGTTGCAAAGTTTCAAGGCCAAATGCTAGTTTTCTCTTCCTTTGTTTTAAGTACAAACCAGTAGAGCTACAATCTCATCAGAGACTTCTGGTGTTTTAAAATTTCTTTGACCACTAAAAAACGTGGTTGAAAATGCAATAAATATGATTTATTTTCTGAATAGTCACATTTTATGTATGAGCATATTATTCTTTTGGTCCATTACGTCTTCCTTTTGAGACATTTCGGCCACAGGTTAGCTGTAACTAAATTAAAGAAATAAAACATTTCCTGTACCGTTCCCATTTACTGACAATAAAATGTATTCCTGTTGTGTGATGTGTTCTCAGCATCAAGGTAGTCGTCTTTTATTATACGTAATGACATGATTGTTTCTTAATTGATTATTTAACATGTATTGATCGGGTCTCCTCTGCACAATTCACCCCAGCACACACAAAGATTCAGGCACTTAATTCAACAATACTAAATTGTCTTGAAAGAAAATGGAGAGTTTTCTCAACTTAAATGCAGGACTTATACTGTAATCTATAATTAATTAAATCCTAAATTATTTAGTTCTTCATTTAAGAATATATTTTTTTACCTTTTGTTATGTGCCGAAACGATTGATGTTACATTATATCATGTAGCGAATCATTTTTATAAGTAAATGAAGTTTCAGCATGCGAGTACATTAATGATGTGTAAGGTGAAATCTGCAAGTCATTCAAATAAATGGGGTGTGTGCATGATATCAGGGATGAAATAAGACACTGCAACAAAATTAGAAAACCTGCAGACACAGAAATAAACGACAAAGTCTTATTTCACTTGCTTGTATTCATTTGGCCATGGATGCGGAAGGTTTAAAAGAGAGGTTTTACGAGATGTTTTCATTATAATGTTGGAAATCTCTACTAAACACAACATTCAAACAAACCCTTCAGCGTAAAATAACAGGTAGGTTCTTTAAATTCATTTATGTGTTTTAACAGGTTTATTTTCATTCGAATGCTCCCGATTTTTGGAATTCAACAAACAACAATTTTACAGGACATTGACTGATTTTCTGCGATTCTTAATTTAGAGAATGCCTTTTTCTAAGTTGCTTACAGCTGTATAATTAAATTGACAGTTGTCAAGTCAAATAACATCTCAGATTTTTTCAAATTATCGTACAGTTTATCCAACCGTATTTCACTAAGTTAAAATTTAAACCATTTTAGTACATTTGGCTTAAAGGAATAACAACCATTGCTTAATATCCAATTGTTTTGCTACCATGAAATACTTTTTCATTTCCAAGGATTCATTTCCAGTTAAATTGTCTAAGTGGTACCATGTACATGTTGACTTGTTTCTCCATCGGACTGCGTATTACTTCTTACGCCAATAATTATTCTTCAAACAATCGGTATAAGCTTACAATAGACTAACAGTACATCTATATTTGTATGAACGATTGGGTCTCGCATATTAAATAAACTATAAACCCGTGCACTCTCCAGATAAATCTAGCTAAATAAAGTGGTGTCGATTGACGTGAAAAAATGCACTCTAACGAGAAAGAAATACACTTATTTGAGTTTTGTGCAGTTTGCCGAAGAATTAAGTTACGTGTCGGGTGGAGTAGATACTTGTGAAGATGAATTGGGTGTTTGTTACATAACAGACCAGCGGCTCTAACGGACAGGCAAACACGAGAGTGTGACAAAACTGCAAGAGCATTCCATGTTATCTACCGTCGCGTGCATAAGCAGGAATGGAATTATTTGCGAAACTGTTGAAATAAATAATTGTAGTGCTCAACAGAAACTTGTTATCATGACCTAAGTAATTCTTTTTATCAAGTAACGATCATCAAATGAACGTGGTTGTTGAGAAAGTTTTAATTTACAACGGACAAGGACTTTGTGATATAAAGTTTGGGCCATGATCGGTTAGAGATGGTTTGATTGTCACATAGATTCTATTTCTGGAACTTTAAATTGATAAATTCAGATTAAGTGTTCTTATTGCAATATGATTAAAGAATACCAACGATTACAGAACTTTTCTTTATCAATTATGAAAACCTTTCAAGTACCTTTTTTTTTTTTACACAAAAACTTCGAATATAAATTATTTACGCCAGTTTTAATAAGATGATTTTTTTTAATTGTCCTTGCGTGTACAACAGCATGGAAAGCAACATTTGGAATTTTTTAAGATTAAACTTGTATTTTTCTCTGTGTTAAAAAGATCTCCTTTTTTACAGATGATAATAAGAGTTTAAGATCCTGCATACAAATTAGGTTTTTCGATTTTACAGTTTTATTGTATTGAATATTTAAACCCAGTCTTTTTACCAGATTTAATTTTGCGTGACGGAGCATCAGTATAGAGTTCTTGAGAGACAGCGCCTTTTCCCTAAATCTTTCTTTAATGACATGTACATATTGTCGTCTTCTCAGGGGACAGTAAACATTCCTTTATTTATTTCACCTCGTGGATGTAGATTGAAAATTATTTGGATTTAATTTCTATAGTAATTAAATATCATCCTTATTAAAATTCAAGAAAGTACAAGATAAATTTATTGAACAAAACTTGTTTTCTATCTAATTTCTTTTTTTATAAATTGACAAGGTCAGATAATTCCCCTGTACTTTTATTCATGGATAGAATTGAAATTTAATTGCACAGACTTGTCAACCGAGATTGTTGAGAAATTCCTTTTAAAAAGACCTCATCATGATGTTATAATGCGTGGTGTTTTCAGTTATTTTGGTTGCTTCGATGATTACATTTATATGATCGTTGATTAAAATACGATTAACTTTCCTGGGAAGAAACAAGAACAAACTTTACACCTCTATTTAAATTTTTGAACCCATACATACTTACCAGAAAAAGGAAATATGTTTTTAAACTGTATTTTCTTATCAAACATTATAGGTAATTGCGTCAGCGTGCAATGAATAACAATAAAACTGCGTAATTTTTTAGGGAATCTAACAAAATTAAGTTTCATTGCTCTTTAATTGAAACGTTCGATATACCATATAATTTGAAAAAAAAAAAAAAAAAAAAAAAACTGTTGACTTTTTATTGAGTCATCACCCATAATTGATAGCAAGAACCGTGAATTTCTTGCCATTTTAGCCTCTTCGATAAATTCCTTCTTTAAATGGCAAGTCTTAGAGAGCGTCAGTCACTCGGCCCCCTTTTCTGGCGTTTAATACTAAGACTACCGGATTCCTCTGACGATACCCACTATCCCTAGCTCAGACAACGTGTTCTCTGTTTTAACAAATCTTATTAATCCCAAGTCAATACGGACTGACCGTTTAAGGTATGTAAGCCAATACCTATGTGTTCTGTTATATACCTGATTGGAGGGTAACCCGTCCAGGGGGATTGGTGGGACTCATTCACTTTTGGGGGGATATGATAAGGTAATACCGTTCTCTGTCCAGGAATCCGTGTTGCATCAAGGAGTACACTTGATAGCTTTTAGGATAAATACTTCTTTTATGACTTGTTCTTGCTAAAAGGAAATTCTTGTATTGATCATTTCTCTCTTTTTCTCTTACAGTCCAGGAGAGTTTACCAATGTAAGATAGAAATCAGATGTTTGTTTCCATACATTTTCTACCAGAACGATGGTCTGATAACCTGTCCTTGTGTAGATACCATTTTAGGTGCAATATTTCTTTCGACACAAGGATAGCGTAAAATAGTGGCTGATATTTTATATATTCTTTTTCGTGTAATGCCTGAGAAAAACACGTGGAATAGGCGACCATGGACCCTTCCCCACGTCCGGACGCAACCAAAGGTCCATGTGCCAAAAGTGGACACTTACTTTAAAGAGGTTTGTCTCTATGCATATTCAGATTTGTGAGAGAACACTTATGGGTTTTAATTTTTTTTTTCAATATAAGTTTGTTATACTTTTGAAACTACGTTTATAAAAAAGAAAGTTTTTTCCTTAAATTGAAAATATACATGCTAACGGAGCTAACAAACACATATTACTCAAATTATTTAAAAATCCAGTCGAAACAACTGAAGAGATCATATTCTTTTAAGTGTATATAATTATGTATCAACGGCAAGAAAAGAATTAAAAAGAAACGTAAAATCTTCAAAGTAAATATTTTGTAATCAAGAGGTAAACAGAACACGTACAGATTTACATACTCTACCTTGTAAATTTCACTATCAATATCGGAAGTTCATATACATGCGTGTAATAATAGTGCATTTGTTTTTAACCAAAATTCACTCTCTTTTATTAATATTCCTTGAAAAATTATTTTGTGATCGAACATTTTTTCACGTGATATTCTTTTAAAAATTGGTTTTAACTTGTCAGTTGTTTTTAGGAAAAATTAAACGAACAACTTAGTGAAAAAAGTAAGCTATGAGATCATCCCATATTTATAATAATCATTGGGTATTTTTACTGAGTTGATTTCATCTGTAAACATGTTTAAAATGAAGTATTTTTTATCACAACTTTAAAAGTTGATGGAATAGACAATTCAGTCATACAGTGATACATGTATTGAATTACACTGCTAGTTATTAAATTTAATTTTTGGTACCCTTATGAAGTATTAAGAGTGTGACGCTAAACAGGTTTTTAATACCAATTTTGCTAAGGCTTCAAGTATACAAATGTTTAAGTAAATAGAGACATAAGCTCTCAGAGGTCCGTAACATGAAGGTGAGAATTAGAGAAATGAGATTTTCATTGCTTTAACTGTTTGTTTGATAGACTCCCGTCTACACGGAGGAAGAACTTCTTGATTATTAAGTAAATTATTACGAACATTTGTGAAATTTGTCTGCGATCACGTCCCTGGCTTTTCTTATAGTATTTTGATATTAATTGCAAAATATTTTTGTACTCCAAATGTTTTAATTTTTTTTAAGATTTGCGCACCGATAAATATTTAACAAATTGAATTTGAAAGTTGAAACCTACAAAATTGAATTTAATGATTTAATGTAATGATGATTGTGGAGAACTTGGTAAGCAACAAAAATCTTGCTCAAGACATTTAAATCTGGCATTAAATGTGAAAGTTTAAAAAATTTGATCGATACTTTAGATATCATACATAATTATGTAGCATTTGGGCTCTAATCGTTATAGACCCACCTCGATATTTAATTACCTAAAATCCTGTTTTTAATGTTCATTGTATTGGTGTATTTTTTGGGTTCCAAATCTTACCATCCCGTGTGTTCTAGCTGTGGCAATTAGACACGTCGGCATTTAAAGTTTTGTCTACTTACACAATGTTAAGATATACCTCTTGGGGAGTTTCAAACCCCCACGCCTCTTACAGTAAAGTGACTTAGTGAATTGAGATGTTTGTTCCCTGATAATTCACGATAAATTGATTTGTATCCCTTAACATGCTGAGAATTACCCCCGAATGTCTCCAAAATGGTCTTGATTCTAAGATATAAAGGCAGAGTCTACAGAGGTCGACAAACAAAATCTGCGTAATAAAGTTAATTTCTCACAACAAATACATGTAACTTTAATATTGTCTTATCAATTGTGCATTGATATTCTACCTTGTCTCCTGTCTGGAATTGTGAAAATCCGTTTAAATTAACACCGACAACTGTATGTGTTGCAAATTATTTTTGAAAATTTCAGTAGATTTTTTGATTTTGCACACCTAAATCACACTATAAAGTAATTATTCATTTTTTTAACAGATATCAGAGTGCCAGAAACAGTATTCAAAGCTTCGCCTGACCCCCGAGGTTTCTAAACACTCCTCCTCCACGCTCCCCTTTCTCTTTCCGCGGTCCCATACTACCTCAAAAATTGAACTTAAACCCTCCTATGCCAGATCACCTCCAGCAACTCTGTCCCGCCATACTACGAAACTGTCATGGCAGTTGAAAATGTCTGACAGTAGACCAAATGATTCTTTAGACTCGGATAATCTTCAACTGTCTGAACATGCTGAATCAGTGGACGAGGAATCAGATGAAATGAATCCTATCAAATTGTCAGAACATTTACGTGATTCTGGATTCGGCGATCCAATAATGTTAACGTGGTCAGCGAAAGAACATCTATCCAAATTCAACCTTCCTAAAGGACGAAGAGCGAGAAAGCTTCCCTCTAACCCATCACAAAGAGAAAAAATAAAGGGAAGGGCTCGTTTAGACTATGAAATGGCAAATATGAGAGCCGTTGCCTTTTGTGAAAGACAAGCACCAAAGGTGTTTAGGACGGCTTCGGCAAATATGCGTAACAGGGATGTCCAGTTTGTAGAACAGGAAGTGAAAGAAAATATACAGCGTGAAATAGAGCTGGACGAAGATGATAATGATAGTATTATAGTGATGAAAATAGACCGCGAGGAACTGTTCCAGCGGGTCAATACGTGGATAGAGGATGTGACGAAATCACTGGCCAGCTAGGGAGGAAGTGACGTAGAAGAAACGAGTTTTACTGCTATTCTAGTCAATTGGAAGGCATAATTTTTAAATTGACTGTGATTATTATATAGTATGGCATTACTGATTGAAAGGGATGGTGCTTTTCCTGTTAATATAACTGTACAATAGGTACTCATATTCGATATCCAGCAATAATGCATATGACTACACTTATCAAATATTGTTTACAAGCATAATTTATTCTGACATAAAACCTCTTCATTGTATAATTAACTTATATTCAATAATATTAAATTGGAGATTTATATATAGCATCATTCTTCTTTTTCATGCTTCCATGTACGTTTGAATTCGACAGATAAAGAATAACACCCCTGTCAAATGTTATATTAAAATACCCACGTCTTCAACTAGATGATTCATTCTCAAAGAAAATATCATTTGCACTTTAAAAATGAAAATTTCATTACAAATGATTTGTTGATCTTTATTCAAGAAATTTGCTTTCTTTAATAATTTTGTAAAAATATTTAAACATTCCTCAAATAGTGTTATTTTGACACAGTGCGTCAACGTTAAAGTTTTTCATTCTTAATTACAATATATTTAAAATCCCATTAGGATTGCAAATGAAACGGAATAAAGGGGAACAGATTGTTGACTAATAGCAAGTGGTTGATGCTATATAACAGATGGTTCAACAACATTTAAAGAAACACCGAAGATTAAATATACAGAATTTTATCCTTTATAGTGCGTATTTTAGCACCTGAAATCACTTCAAAATAGTATGACCTTTAAAAATCGTGTATTTATTTATTGAACCGATTACTCATATTACCTTCATGTTTCTTTGTGTTGTTTTTAAGAATTTATTTTCAACTTATAAAAAAAGTAGGTTAAATGTTTGGAGGTTCAGTATTTTACGCCATGCCATGTTTTCGTACATATTCGGTCAGCTGACTGAGGCAGAACAACTACTTTAATTCCTTGAATATGTATACAATACTTGGGGGGGGGGGGGGTTAACAACCTAACAGGTTAACAACCTAGCAAGCATAAGAAAAAAGTATACTTGTATACTACCTCTTTTCTATTGTAAAGTAAAAAATATCCCCCCCCCCAGTTCCACCTGCTTTTATATGTTTAATCATTTTATTTCATCAAATGCCCAAAGTGAGCAAATAAGTATGTAATTAGGAAAGGAAATACATCGTAGTGTTTTATCTCTTTATATGTAATGTGAGTTTCCAGAAAAAGCGCAAAGTCCATCAAGCTTATTCACGAATTGTAATAAACACAACATCATTTCTCTCTCATTATCATTCAAAAGTTATCACCTATCAAAGTATGTTAAAAATTTTGATGAGGAGGTCAAACTTAAAGGTCACGGGGTCAAAAAATCATAGTACATTTGAAAGGTCACAGGAAAGGTTAAAATGGTCAAGGCAACTGGGAATCAGAAGATGGAATAATGTAGAAAGACAGTGCTTTTTGTTCTAAAATTACAAATTCAAATTGTTTATATATAGAAAACTATGTATAAAGTCAGACTACAGTAATCAATAGAAAGATTAAGTATTTTTAGCTCCTCTAAGCCGAAGCTTAAGGCTCAAAGAGCTAATACTGTGGTTATCATGAGGTTCGCACAGTGTGTAAACTTTTTAAAAATGGAGGCCATTCTCAAGAACCCTTAGCCAATTTTTATCAAAGTCACAGAGTATCATAAGACTAAAAACAGGGAAATAGTTCTTAAACAAGTACAGATAATTAGGCAAATATAAAAAAAAAGTGGTTTCTAAAATCCTTCCTCAAGAACCCAGAATTATCACAAACCTACCTATAAGGATGAGCATATATTGTAGATTAAAACTTTTTCAAGTCATCACCCTAGTTCAGAGGGCGTTCTCTCAAGGTCACTTCAAAATGTTGTTTTGTTAAAACTTCAATATTTGCCAGCAAAGGGAGGAATAGGTTCATCAAACATTGTCCATTGATGCATTTTAGGACCTTGTGATGTGTTAGCTTACAAGGTACATGTGTATAATATTCCTTTATTAATTCTTATGGTGTTAAATAAATCGATATTAATTCGTTATATTTTTTTTTACAATGCAGGAAGTAATTTTGTGTTTTCATTAGTAAATCCACATGAACACTCTGTGTTTTCTGAATATCTACCCTTAAATGTTTTAGAATTTAATGACACTTACATTTGTCTCTTTCTAGTTAATAGTGAATTCATCATCTTGGCACCATAGGAAAAATGTTTTGGGAGACTCCCTATTGGGAAGTCTATTTTTGAAAGCGTTAACACCATCAAGCTTCCTTATCTCCAAAAGTAAGCCATTCCACGGTGATATTTTTGAGGAAAAATGAGTTTTTTTAATAAGTTTGTTCTACATTGAGGTATGACAAATGAATATCGTTACAGTTACGCAAATGATAATGAGTAGTTTGTAAAACTTCAGAGGTAATAAATATGATATACCAGGTACTCTGGTACAAGACAACATTAAGCATAACGTCATCTTTTTATAAGTAAGTGATTGCTATCCTGTAAACTACGAGAAGTTGAACCACGTAAATTGGAAGACCAGTTACAATACGTGCAGCTTCTAACAGAAGTTTTTAAAGTCCAGCGTCAGCTGTGCAGATGTTATTCCATACTTCTAATGCATATTGGAAGATCAATCTTAAAAATGTAATATACGTACACATTAGCTAAGAAGTGGCGATGCAATAACAATTTTAATTTACGAAGGACTGCAATTTCTTTGAATTTTGTATAATATCGTCAATATGGTTTGTCCATTTCCAGGATTCTGAAAATGTAAGTCCAATATGACAGTGACTAGGGGAAGGGACGATTTGTTGATTGTCAACACGAAGTGCCAAATATTAAGATTGCTTTTTAAATAAAAATGGAACTCGTAAATCTACATACATTGTCATTGATAATAAACAAATTTTTTTGTTAAAAAACGTTCTGATTCTACACACAGGTACTCTGATATTGATATTATAAAAAAAATGCTTGAGTTTCTAATTGACAACATCTATGTAGTTTTTTGAGATCAGGTCTTCCAACAATCTGACGGAATTCTCATGGGTACCAATTGCGCCCCATTATTAGCAGAGCTATTTTTGTATTCATATAATTAATAAAAGCAGATTTTTTTTTTAAATTGTACATGAGAGGAAAAAAACTTGCTGTGGCCTTCAACTCGACATTTAGATATATCGACGACGTATTATCAACTAACAATAGTTACTTCCATTCATATGTCGACTCGATATCCCAGTGAACTTGAAATAAAAGATATCACAGAGGCCGACAAATCTGTTTAACATCTGGATATTTTACCAGAAAAAGACGTTAATGGTAACCTAACAACCAAGCTTTATGAAACGTGATGACTTCAACTTTTCTATCGTCAACTTTCCTTACTTATGTAGCAATATACTCTTATTACCTGCATATGGGGTTTATGTCTCCCAGTTGATTCGATACGCAAGAGCTTGCTCTACATACGAACAATTTCTAAAACGAGACAAGCTATTGACAAACAAGTTGATGAAACAAGAATATCAACAGTCTCGTTTGAAGTCATCATTTCGCAAGTTCTATGGTCGATACAATGACCTTGTCAGCAAATACAATCTATCATAAAGTGGAATGCTGACTGACGTTTTTCATTCTAATCATTAGGCCATTATTTACACATTGAATTGTCGACGGATTTTTCCGTTATTTCCCGATCATGACAAGGAGCACACGACGGGTGTGACTGGTCGGCAGGGGATGCTTACTTTTCCATAGTACCTGATCCCATCTCTGATGTTTTTAGAGGTCCTGCTCCCGATTTGTATTGATTCAATGGACTTTTGAGCTTGATTTCTGTTCATTATCTCCATATTTGATTTTAATATGATTATATAGTTCAGTTTTGTCAAACTTTGTAAGTTGGTGTATCTTGGGAGCTTAGAGTGTATCGACCCAAAAGTAATTCGTTGTGACCTTTTTGAATTTTATGACTATTTATTTTCAAAAGATTTCATCCAAATGTTTGAATACTAAAAGGATCAAAATCATCAAATCCTATCAATTGAAGCATCTTAAGAGCTCGAGGTGTGTATACTAATAAGAAGGCCACAGTGACCAACTCTCTGAATTTTAAGTCTTATCTTTTTATAGTCTTTAAACCTCTCTGTTTTGAACACCATGATTTTTAAGGATACCCGAACCTGAAAAGTTAATGTGTCATGAGGCCCAATGATGTACCAGTTCAAAAGTACAATTCAAAAGGCTCAGTGACCTATATTTTGTTTATTGTTTCTTTATTTATTGTCAACTCTTTTTAGCCTGGACTTTAAGAGGTCTGCGTTCATCAAACCTCTTGGGGCCTTAGAATATATTATTTTACCTAAAAATAGGTCACAGTGACCTACTTTTTAAATTCATTTCATATCATTTTAGCTGCATATCTTGGGAAGTCTAGGATCATTAAACCTTCACAGTAAGACTTCAGGGTGTGTCAAATAAAAATTGGTCACAGAGACCAATTTTTTCAATTTTATGCCATTTATTTTCAAAAACTTCAAGCGAATTATCTTAGATGCTTAGAATTAGCAATTTGTCATGATCAACTAATGTTCTCTAAACCTCTTGAAAATTCCGACTTTGCTTTCATTAATGAATCAGGAATTGTTTAAATTAATGATGGTTTTCGGTGGAAATTTTTTTTAAATATGTTGATAACTATAGAATGTTCTTTTTAAATGAATATTTATCCATTTTTTTCATACTTCTGCAACGTACTTTGAATATTCTTTCCTATTTCAAAATTTGGGGAAAAATAGTTTAAAAGAACCCCCTTTCAATTACTGCACAAATGTACATGTATTCTTTAACAATTTAAGAATAGCTGCAAGGTAAAACTCGCTTAGATTTATGTCGTAAATAAATTTCATTGTGCGAAAAAACGTGTGGGGGGATGGAGGAGGTTTGATGATTAGCCAACTGGATTCACCCTGGAAGAGAGAAAGCATTTTTTTTTTATTTATCCTTTGAATCAAATTATATTTTTTGTCTCCAGAATTGTCCACTTTGAAAAAAATTTAGAGATGTATTACGTCATATAACTAAAATACAATTGTGTTTTTCAATAATAGATCGCCTAAGTAATGTATAAAGTAATATACAAAGTGGTATAACCAAGAAGAGTAATACAGAAAAATCAAAGAATTGAAGAAGAGTTGTTCATCTTACAATCAACAC